CGCAGAGGCCCCTCCCAAAGAGTCTCTCCTTCCAACTTGCCTGGCGTCTCTTTCTCTTTGTCGGCCCTGTGTGCCTGGCTTTTTCTTGCAGCTGTTTCCTACACCCTAACGTCACGCCCTCTTCTCTTCTCGTTCCCGCACCTGGGCAAGTTGCCCGCCCTCGGTACACGGGTGGTTCCTGCGCCTCTGGTCTCGATCCTCTTTTCTTTTGTCTGATGGATCCTCTCACACTCTTTTCTTTCCCCTCGATGCCGTCGTGTAAGTCCTGGAGCAGGTGTCGCAATGATGCAAAATACGAGTATTGAGAGTGAGTAGTGTATGAGTGTGATGAGCGTCTGGTACCAGGCGGCTGGCGCGGAAATAATCGTAGTCCGTCGGAGTGCGCGGATTTCAAGGGGTGTCTCCGTGGTTATGTTATAATGAGTGATTGTCTGCCTGTGGCCGCGACGCATCCTGGTGCTTGTCTGGTGTTTTAGGGGCGAAGCTTAATCGCCCAACTCTAATCTCTGGCCCTTCTTCATTTTTGGGTCGTCCTTCCGCGGGTGGGGGATGTATTGGGATGCGTCACCGAAGATCGGACCGCGATTTTCAACGAAATGATGCTTTCACCGGGGCTGGGCAGCAGTAATTATAATACGAAGACGTGACTTTTAAAGGTATCTCTCTACAAAACTGCAACAGCCAATATATAATCCTATCTAGCCCTGCATCCATAGTCACGGTCCTGCGTCTGATCTTTCATCATCCCAGACTCTCCCAAATGACAATGGGCAAACCTTCACGTTGGAAAATTCAAACAGCCGCGACTTTATCAATCTAGCCATCTCCACCATCAATCTCCTCCACGAGTCATGTTGCCTTTCCACTAACCGCCTAGCTTACAAATGGTTGTCACTTTGCGGACGAATACCGTAATCTCATCACTGCATTACGCCGCCAGCAGTGAGCACGCCAGCAGCGCTCGAGTCCCAACGGTCACCGGCTTTGGCCGTGATACTGATCGGCACCGACTATCCCGAGTGAAGCACTACCATGGTGCCTCGATGTAAGATGCCTTTCGCCCGTAGGATTACTCATCTTGCCAGCACATTCTCAAGTCCAAATACCTTGCTACATAATTACTCCGACGCGCCGTCGTCTATGACTGTTACGTCCGCGCCAGTAGGTGTAATGTCAGTTGGTTATACAGCGGTGATCCATGCGGCACCGCCCTAGGCATATTACTCTCCGGGACATAGGGTACGGTTCCAGCAAAGACAAACTAATGAAATCTTGAGGCGGAACCCCCGTCATCACCAAAATGAATCGGCGATCCAAAATTAAATTGATGAAAGCACAGCCTTTCAGTATGTATTCGGGGTATATGAAGAACCATCAACTGGTCCTTATTACGGAGAGTTGAACGGCAAACATGAAAAGACTTACGCACAGATGTTCTCCAACAACGCCCTGCCGAGGCCCAAGGGCATCAAATCCCAAACGACAGCATAACATATAGTACTCTCCATCATCCGCGCAGAAAACTCCGACGGGAGTTTCAGGCAGCGTAATGAAGAGTCTCTACGAAGTGCGATTCTGCGGGGCGCACCAATTGGGGCCAATTGCTTTACAACTTGATCTAAGAGAGTTTCGACTAGTCGTTCTATTACTTATCCCCTTATGCTTGTCTGTGACACTCTGTTCCACTTATCAGACTCTGAAAAGGCGCGGGCAAGCCGCATCGGAAGAGCCTGCCGATGAGCCCATTCTAAGCCAAGCGGTACAGAGCGGACAGACCTAACCTTTTACGAAGAAAATATCCTCGAATGCACCTCGACTAACATGTCCCTTTGTAGTATCCCGTATCTTAGATTTAAATTTACGACCCGAGGGTCGAGAGCCGAACAGCACGTCCCAGCCTCATTTAGCGCGATTGGCGTCCGTTCTGAGGCAATGTACATAAGACAATAACCGTAAATCGGATCTAAGGAATCTGGAGTATTCTGCGCGTGGGCTTTGTGAGACTTTTAAGAAGCGCCAAAAATTACCAAATACAGTCCTAGTCCCCATCCTCCATTACCTACCCCACGCATTGTAGTGCTCTTTTCAAGTCTTGGCTCTGAGCTTCACAGCCTCATCCAAGGGAATTTCCATACTTCGTACTTTCTAAGTATTCCAAATGCAATCATCCAACAAATCGAAGCGTGATACATCCAATGGTATTCTCAATATCTCACATGACTTTTGAGAGCGTCGAGTCAACTCTTCGTTCATACCAGAAACCCAACTTGACTTTGAATAAGTGGCTAAGTCCTAGGACGTAGATGCTACCTCGTTTTATCTAGTCTTCTGGCTTCACCGATAATTTTGACTTCTAGCCTCATCAAGGAAAATGCGGCAAGCTCCGAAGTTGTGCAGACGGTAGGGCAACAAAGATAAGGCTGCTTTTGGCTCTTGGCACTCGACAAGCCCCAACTATCAAGTCGCCTGGGTAGCAGCCGAGGAACAACTCCTCCAACTCCATGGCATCCTCGGAACGCCTTTCTTACTCCACGAGCGCATCAGGCCGCTTGTTTTTTCTCCCTCACAGGCTTGATGTTGTAACAGGCGACTCTATGGCAAACACCGCGGGATTTGGCTAGCTTGAACCGTCAAACGTGAGAGTTCTCGGTTCCGGCGGGACCTACTGCGCGGGTCACAGGGGGCGCTTCGCGGCGGCCTATGCATCTCTCGGCCGGAGTCATCGGGTAGATCATGAGGAACTCGACAGCATCCAGACCCGAGAATTTTGCCACAATCACGAACGGAAAACCTCTGCAGTCATCGGCGCATGATCATGAGAAGGTTACCTGGCTCTGATACTTCACGATGACCGCGCCATCCGGCTCTGGAAAACAGCGTGATCCAGACTTCGGCGTCATTGACAATCATCTAGCGAGGAAGCCCCGGATTACTAGCCCGGGAGTCGGGGGGCGATTCCGACGAGTAAGCTTTCGGCAGCTTCGGCGAAGACGGCGGGATGCGCCGGAATTGAAGAGAAAGAGGCATTCACAGAAGATGAAGGGATCGAATGTCAATGCAGATTGACGACATTGCCACGATAGCGATACCAAAGGATAGATCGGGATTGGAGATGGTTTGGTGGACCTGGTTCTGAAAGCTCGCAGCTCCTCCATACATCCATGATCCGCCTGACCCATCATCCAGGCAACAGGATGATGATTCGGATTTCCCCCACGGATCCCACAAATTAGACTCTTTGCCATTGATGGCTCGAGTCTAGAATTGCTGTCAAACCCGGCTCCAAAAGGTTCCTCGAGATTGACATGTACTTATGAAGATGAAGCAAGAAGCTTTATTGCGGTTGGTCATGTAAGTCCGGCCAAAATCCGTCGTCGTCAGCAAGACTTACCTTCAGGAAGAAAGCATGGAATTCAACCGAACAGGGCCTCGTTGTTTCTGAAAGAGTAAGAGTGGTCAAGTGAGTAGATCATTGAACACAAGACACATCATATGACGTCTCTTACCCGACAACTTGTCGCCGGTGGTGGCCGCAGGACATGTGTGTGCTAGACCCAGTATTCCTAGACGGACAGCTGAGGTAGGCATAAATACATAAAAGGAAGCAGAGACTCTCAACGAGGTTCAAGGACAATCTGACTGTTCTATCATCTTCTCATGTATGATCTCGGGTTCGAGTTACTGATGGACTGATGTTGAGACATATTCTTTATGAGTACGGAACATGGCTAATTCAAGAAATTTCCATTCCCACCTTATAATGCAACATTTACTACGGACAGTCCCATTTTGCCTCTATACATGGATAGAGCTGCTTAAGATCGACGCATACAAGCACCTGGTGCTGTTCGTCATACCTCACGATGTAGCGACTCTACTCGGGCCGAAAGGAAAGATGCGTCCAACGAAAGTCTGCATGCAATTCGTTTAAGATCATGCTTGCTGCTACCACGTATTATTGTGAAAAGGTATTGTGAGTAAGGCAGACACTCAAATTGACTTGGAATTCCAAAGCTGGGCAAGTATTATTGGACCGTAAGGGACCTCCACTAAGCTAGTCAATACCCGGCGCATTCCTACGATATTGTCTCATTGTACTATTGCTCACAGCTGAGGGGTTGCCGAAACACGTTCCCTAAATCACCGTAGGTAACATGGTCATCTCAGTGAAGGCCTATACTAATTTCTCACCGGTAAATGTCAAAGTCATTGCATAGGCTATCAAACATGGCCTATCAAATCGACTCACTTCTCCATTTCGTCTGACCGGTCATGTGAGACAGAGCCTAGACTGACGCCTCGATACCCAATCAAGAACCTGAATAGCTGAAATTCAGGTTGGAAAGACTGAAAATAGTGGCTTACCAACAGTACCAGCATAATGGCAACTTTGGTCCGCATCATGATGTATTACTTGACAAGTTGTCACCCGAATGTGAGAATAACTGTGTCTCAGCTCTCACAATATGGCAAAGTCTGACCAAGGTATAGTCACTTAATAGGTGCTAGACCAGTAATACGACCAAACAAGATGCATGCGTGTGGACAATCGTTCCCGTTGTACGCAATAGGCTATTGTCCTGTCATACAACGTTTCTGTGCCGCTTCAAGATTAAGAAAGGCATTGGTCTTCCCATCCATCAGGGCTTACTGTTGCATGCGTGCGTTTGATTTATACAACCAAACATGGGAAGCGGGCAAAGACAGACATCGTGAGATGTGGCTTACACCGCTACGATGTTGGCTGGAACGTTGTAGCTCATGCGTTGAAATGCGTAACTAAACCTAGTGAGCGAGGTCGTGACACAGTGAAACTTCCAACTGAGATCAGGATGACGTTGGAAGGGACAGAGTCTTTGTAGCGAATTCATAGTCAGCACGGCTGGAGTCAATAAGCTGGTTTTGTTATATAAAGAAGACCGAGACCGCTGTTTGCAAACCTCTTGGAGCAAGCTCAACAGCCACCACAAAACCCTTCATCCCAATCAGAGCCTCTCAAAATGCTTCTCGCCAATATTGTAGTTCTCCTGGCCGCAAACCTTGCCACTGGCGCTGCTGTCGCCGTAGGCACCTCGTCAGACGTAATCAACCTCGACGCTACGGACCTCCAGCGCCGCGCCGCTTGTGCCGCAGCCGGCGTTGTCAACGGCCAGTGCGGCCGGTACTACCGCGGCACCGGCTGTAGCGACCAAATCGGAGCAATCGGGCCCGGCGTAAGTCTCATCTTTTTGAATCCCTCCTCCCTGGCCCCCGTACCACCTTCCAAACTCCCTCGTCACAACTTAACATAACGAAAGAAGCCCTGAAAGACACGAGACTGACTTGGACCTCGACTACCCCAACAGAGATGCAGCGGACAATGCTACTCCTCCTCCGACGCCATCGCCAGCCTTAGGGCCGTCGGCGACGGGACCTATGGGACTAACTGTCACCTGTACTATGACAGCAACTGCCAGAACCAGATTGGCGAGACTGGAAACGCTATTGTTGGTGGCGGGAAGTGTTACACGCCTCCGAGCGGGCAGACTGGGCATAGCTTCTTGTGCTGGTATAGGTGCTAGACTGCTAATCGCAGTACGGTCGAACTGGGACCGAGCTAGAATGATGGCATCAGCAAACTGATTCAAATTACGCCTCGCAGCTGAATTATTGTAGTGGTTCAGTAGGTTACTGATAGGAAGCTTGCGATGAACAATGGAAATCTCTTGATGGTGAACTTGGACTGAAATGCCAGGAGGTTCCAGCATAGCCTTAACGATCATGCGACATAACCTTGTAGTAATCTTATGTTGATTACCCTAAAAGGAGAAAGCTACGTGACGAGGACTTTGAAATATTCGATAGATCTGAGTTCCGATAAATTGTGATGGGACCGCGAGATGGTCGACTTCTTTTGACGACTGATTGGGTCAAGCGACTATCGTTACACCTCATTCTTTGCGACTCTGATGATAGTCAACTTCAAACATCGCAGACATCTCCTAGAGAAGAAAAGTCAGAGAGAAGATCAGACGTGATTATTTGATTCGCCCCTTATTTCACCTCAAGGCTAAGTGCTTAGAGCCAAGTCTGAATTCGTCATATCACCCGCTAACAGTTGCCCGGTTTTCCTCTCAAAGGATTGCTGACCACATGCGCGTCGCATTACTACCTTCTAGAATGAGATCAAGATCACCAAAGCCGGGCGAGGTGGGGCAACCAACACCAAGTGTAGATAAGAACCTAGAATTGATCCATATCTACTTGAGATCCAAATGCTTCGTTTCAGACGGATTGAAAGCTCTCGGTAGCAATATGCCCAATCTCAAGATGAAGCTCGCCATCTTATCCCTCCTCGCCTCGGTCGCGAGCGTCCGCGCAGCAGCCAGCAACACCAACTCTTCACACCCCAACAACCCTCTCACCGTGAGAACTTCAACCGGCACATTCACAGGAATAATCGACCCAGACGCCCCAAACACCCTCCAATGGCGCTCCATCCCCTTCGCCGAACCCCCCGTCGCATCCCGCCGCTGGCTCCCTCCCGCAAAGCTCCGACCCAACAACACCACCAGACCCCAATACGCCACAAAATTCCCGCCATCATGCCCTCAATTCGTATCTTCCGTAGAATCCATGTGGAATCTGCCCCTCACAAAGGGGAACCTCATCTACAACGGCGCCCAAAACGACACCTCGGGCCTGGAGGGCGAAGCAACCTCCGAAGACTGCCTCTACCTCGCAATCTGGAAGCCCACAACCCCGCCGCCCACGAAAGCCGGCTTTCCCGTCCTCTTCTTCATGACGGGCGGCGGCTTCGTCATGGGCGGCATCGACCTCCCCTGGCAAATCCCGACATCGTGGGTCGAGCGCTCCCAGTCGGCCATCATCGTGACGATCAACTACCGCGTCAACATTTTTGGCTTCCCCAACGCGCGCGGGCTAGCCACGGAGTGCATATCACAGAATCTAGGCATACTGGACCAACGCGCAGCTTTGGAATGGGTACAGGAGAATATCGCGGCCTTTGGCGGCGACCCGGCCCGCATTATGCAGTGGGGCCGGTCCGCAGGGTCAGTCAGCGCGGACATCCACGCCTACGCGTACTACGACGACCCGATCGCCCAGTCATATTACATGGAATCCGGCGTCGTGCAGTCCGGAATCGAAGCGGATCTGACCTTCTCTAATTTTACCTTCGTCGCGCAGAACGTAGGCTGCGGATCCCCCTGCGGCGCCGACTGCGAAGACGAGGACGGCACGGCGGAGCTGGACTGCATGCGCCGGGTATCACCCACACAAATCAGCAACTTCATCGGCCAATACACCGACCGGGGCGAAGCGCCAGCAATATTCTTCTCCCTGGTCCAGGACGAACGCATCATCTTCCGCGACTACGAAGCCCGCGCAGCAGAGGGCAAACTAGCCCGCCGTCCGGTCCTCATCTCCCTAACAGCCAACGAATTCTCCTCGCTGGTCCCCTGGCCGAAGGAGAACCTGACAGAAGGGCCCTGGCAGACGCTGGTCACGGAGGCCGACGTCGTGTGGGTGTGCGCGGCGTACGCCGCCACCGTCGCGCGGAACCAGCTGAGCACCACCGAGGCCCCTGTGTTCCGGTTCCAATATGCAGCCGAGTTCCCTAATTTGAATGTGTATGACTGGCTGGGCGCGTATCACAATAGCGAGACACCTTTAGTGTTTGGTACGTATGGGCTGTTGAATCATATTGCGCCGACGACAGAGTTCGAGGTTGAGGTGAGCCACGCGATGCAGGATCGCATCATGGCGTTTGCTGAGGATCCATATCATGGTCCGCAGAAGAAGTTCGGATGGGAACCACGAGTTGTGAGTGAGGCGACCGGGGGAGACGTCCTTCGGTTCGGAGCGGGTGGGAAAGTGGTGGAGCGGATTGATGGCGTTGAGATGGATGGTGTGTGTACAGGGTTAGGCGAGTATGATCCCTTCCCGTAGATGGTTGTGACGATAGAGAACTGGTATGATGCTTTCAACATCAGTAGTTTCGCGTCAAGGATTTATGAATTATTACCATCCTCGGAGATGCGCTGCTCTGGCTGATAATCCGCACCATGTGAAGACTTCGGCCTCACAGGAGGATTGACGGGGTAAGTAATGAGCACACGCCTGAAGACAGGTGGACAATAGAAGGAATATTGCATTATTCGTGATTTACTTTATTATGACTATGTCTATCTAGTAGATAAGACTAGGTTTAGGGTATCAAGGATCGTGAAATCAACTTTTGGAGCTCAGGTAAGGCCCGGGGGCCCCATATGGAGTAGACATTACTTTGCGACCTGGCGCCTGGTACCAACATAACTGTTACGTCTGCTCGCAGAGGGAGTGCCTCTGGGAGTGCCGCGGGGCGTAACACGGTTCTCGCCAAAGAAGCGCGAATTTTGGCTGTAAGAACGTCCGTACGCCGGACGATCAGGGCGCTCAGCACCAGAAGCGCCGGAGGCAACACTCGCGCGCCTGTCCGCACCCGCAACATGGCTGACGCGACGACCGCCCGCATCATCTCTGGCGCCGGCCAGCTTCTGAGCGAACGGCGAGCGTGCGCGCAAGGTAGGGCCCTTCCAGTAGATGACATAGACAGCGACGACAAGAATAAATGAGATGCAGAACAGGATCGTGCAAGCATACTCAAGGTTCTTTCCGGTACCTGCGCCAATGTTGGTGAAGAAAGGCGTGGCAGGGACGGTAAGGACACCTGCAAGGAAGTCACGGGCCCAACCGTTGCCGCCAGTTGCTGACGCGGAGTATGGTCCGTAGGCACAGATCATGTAGTCAATGGTGGCCATGTAGATGGCGTAATTGGCGATACCCACAATGGCTGCGAAGACCATAGAGCCGATCCAGTGGATGGGAGGTCCCTGAATAGTCCAGGCAAAGCCAATCAAGCCAATAGGCAAGCAAGGCGCGGTGTACAAAAGGAACCAAAGACGAGACTCGTACTGTGCTCTATCATCGTTCGGTTTGGCCGCACGCTCCTTGATGTTGCGCTTGATGGCAGGGATGAAGAGGAGCCATGCGAGAACATAGCCGATACCAATGGGAATGAAGGCCAGCCCAACCTGAACGGTGGTGAAGTTCCACTGTCCATAGACGAGAACGAACGACTGGATGAACATGAAGATGAGTGCGTCAGAGAAACCGGAGAGAAGTGACAACACCAGAACGATAGGCTCGGTGAGGAACATCTTGAAGGGACGGATCCAGGTCGTGATGACCTCCTTGGCCGAGAAGCGGTCCTTGAAGGGGACGAGCTCGTCGGGACCCCAGATGTTGGGGTTGCCCTCCTTTCTGCGCCTCTTGGCGATGCGGTTCATCATGATAGTTGTGCGTGTCTCAGGAACGGTAAGGGCGTGGACGGCCTGGACCGCAACTCCAAAAATGAGCTGGACCCAGATGGACCATCTAAGCACATACATTAGTTGTCATCAATCAATATCGTATTAGTCAAATGCCACATACCTCCAGTGCAAGTATTCCTCGGTGAAGCCACCCACGATGGGACCAAGAACGGATCCTCCGACTGAGGAGAAGACGACATATGCGACAGCGTACTGCTGCTTGTCGGACTCGAATAAATCGGCAATCATACCGAGTGTGACGGAGCCACCAGCGGACGACAAGCCGCCCAAGGCGCGACCAACCATGATGGTCGCAAAGTTGGGCGCCAGAGCCACGGGAATCTGCCAAATATTGACGAGGAATAGCGAGAGCTGGAGAACCGGCCAGCGGCCAAATTCCTCTGACCACGGGGCCCAAAGTTCGCAGCCAAAGGCGTAAAGCACGAGGAAGATCATGGCACCGCAGCGACCGGCCTGGGCGCTGACGTTGAACTCCTCCGAGATGCCGCCGATGGCATTGGAGTAAAGCGAGGTGTTGAAGTTCATCGAGACCTGGACCCAGAAGATGACGGTGAGGATGTACCACTTTTTCCACTTAGGGAAGCAGAAGCCCAGCTCTTCGTAGCAGTCGTCCTCGGTAATTTCGTACTTGTCATAGGTACCTAGCTTCTCCAGCTTGGCGCCGTTACCGTTGCCATTGAGGGCGCCGTTGCCGTTCAGGTGCTCCGAGTGATTAATGGTTGGGTCGTGCTCTTTTGAAGCTGCTGTATCGCTAGCGCTGGTACCGTCATTGACGTTGCGCTCGTCGCGGGACTCGAGCTTCTCGTTGGCGACTTCGAGGTCAGCCTGGTTGATGACCTGAGGCGGTTCCTCAGCAAATCGTGTGCCAGCCATGTTGAGCTGTTGTCATGCAGATGTAAGGTGCAGGACGGTCAACAGAAGGTCAGGGTATCGCTTCCTCCTGTTTTTCGGGAGGCCAGCCGACAACGAAGGAGGATAAGAGAGATGATTATGCGTAAGGGCAACCTCTATAGACCAAAAGTCTGGATGATTCGGGAGAACCAAGGGATCAGCCAAACCTGCCTGCTCGGGCGAGGCTTCGAGATATATCAATGGGGCGGTCAACTTCGGACGGAAGCCGAGGGACGCAGACCCTGCCGCCATGACCCAACGCGCCTGTTGCTGTCGACGTAGAGCCATGCCCAGTCGGCTTCCCAAACGTGCAGTCGCCCACCCGTGACATCACCGTCCATTGTTGGTGGCGCGAAACAGGCAACCTCTAGCGCAGCACGTCCCACTTAAACCAGACGTAGCGTTGGGGGGGCGTGGGTGTGTGGGATACGGGGGCGGGCGAGTTGAAAGGAAGACAGAAGGGTACCGTAGCAGGGCAACGTAGTAAGCAAACTGAGCACCAAAGGTAGCGTCAACCGTTCGATGGGAGCTGTAGTCGCGAGCGGTCACAGGACAATTCTGGTGAAAAATCGGGGACGGGTGCGGATCGTTGACAATGTGGATTCGCCGGAGGGAGTCCGGAGGAGGGTCGAAATGTAGTGGTTTGCGAGGAGCCCACAAGGAACGAACGTAGCGTGCCAGTCTAGCCAATATGTGGAGTAATTGAGTTTGACGCTGCCCTTGGAAACGTTTTCTTCTAGTGAGATTTTGATGGCTGAACTCGTCAACACCGTTCCTGTGCTGTCAGATTCCAGTCACGCTGCCCATCCGGACGCAGGTTTTGGTGATGTGTGGAAGTTTGCGCTTCGGCTCCTACCAGAGAAGCGTCAGAGGTGGGAGGTACGTACTTGAGGCTGGTGCCAAGTTGCGGTAGAGCGGCAGCAGACTTGGCGAAGGGCGGCTTCCAAAGCTTGTTTGCCCGTGGAAAATACCTACCACACACGCACCGTTCCGTACTGACGAACGTACCTTGTCCTGCGCGGCTCTAGTGGCGTCGCAGTTCACGACGGGAGTGGCAGGCAGCCCTCAGCTGTACCTGGCAAAGTCAAGGAACACCATGATTGGCACACCAGAAGACACAGAGATCCGCAAGGATTTAGCAATGACGATCATGGTCGTAAACTTTTTTTTTACTTCTCCCCGATTTCTTATTCCCATTTCCCGCTAACCTTGCCATGCTTAGCTGCTCTGGGAAGACTATCTCCATTTCTCTGTTTAAGCTCCCCAATGACACCAAAAGGCAGTCACCTTTCCGGGCTGCCAAACTGGGCAAAGCGGGATGCATAGCACCAACGGGCATCATTTATGACGTCGTTGGGCCGGTGGGCCCGAACATCGCCCTCGCAGAACTGGATGTAGTGTGCGGCGCCGTCTCCAGCCGTTCTGGGTCCAGTCTTTTCTCTCCAGCTTCTCTCCAGCCTTCGTTTCTTTCTCTCCATGGGACGCTCCCACGCACATGTCCATCCCATCTCCAGTTATCCAGTCACTCCCCGCAACACCATCTGTTTGATGTCCGATTACCACTTCGAGGTAGGTAGCGATGAAGCAATAATGGCATTAGGCAAGAGAGGGATAAAACAGAGTTTTTGGATGAGCCATGCCAGCTTAAGCCCTTGCTTTGTTCGTATTTCAACGACATCATATGCGCAGCCAAACTCTTACTCAGCCAGCTACCTAGTCAAAGTGAAAGCAAAGAGGATTAGACGATCAGCCACTCCCGCAGCCTCAACCGGCGCCTGGACGCTGCCAAGATTCGGATGCCTCCTGACGGCCCGAAAGTTGATGAAACGCAGTCAACTGAAGCATTCCCAGCCCTCTATCAGCCAACCATTGAATCAACCCCTTCATTTCTCTCTGTTGACCAAGGCTATTGCAGCCGCCATTCAGGTTCATTGCATGTGGATGCCTCGTATGACATCGCCTCACGACTCACGTACGCCTGTAGTCAACGTTACCTTTCCCCTCCTCAATCTGCCGACCGCTCCAGTATCATGATAGTTCAGTAACTCAGATCCAGATAATCCTGCAAGATTAGCCAATGAAGCATCCCGTCTCGTAGGGAGTGTCCGTGAACTCTCCGGTTGAGCCCGGCTTTTTGGGTGAGGGATTATGTAACACATTTTTCCAACTTCACATCCTCCACCTTTCCCTCCATTTTCCTCCACCTCGCGATATATCTGGGTCTGGAGACTCCACGAGTCCACGTGAATGCAAAATACGATTCTCCCTTCCCAATCCCTTGCAGCGGCCAATCAAACGGGATTACCCACCGAAAGTCCCGTTGCTGGATGCATAGAGCCTGAACAGGTAACCCGTCGCGAAGGAGGAAAAACAATCGCGCCCGACCGCCACAAAAAACAACCGCGAGTGTGCAATTGCGGTGAACATTTCGATTACTTAGTGTGGACTTCGAGACAAGAAGGTAGAGACTCGAGCGAAGAATCCTTTTGAAAGGCTTGCCCGCCCCGTCAGCCCTCCGGACTTACGGACCGGGTCGGCAGACTTTCGACGGACTGGTCACGAAGTGGATCGCCACCACGGTGTCCCCGTTTCGCCAAGCGAACGATTTTCAATGTTCCGGAGCTTGACCTCCTTGGCCGACGGACGATCACCGATGCCAATACGATCCGTCCGGCATTGGCGACAGGGGTAAACACGATTCCATATCCGAATTTCAACCCCTACTTCGATTCATCTATCGGTCATCTGCCGCTACCTATCCTACATAGCGATAAGTCGAGCAAATGGGATGTTTGTACTCTTCAAATCCTGGTTGAATGTTCCTCAGTTGAAACTGTCGAATTGGAAGTCCAATTCGACCTCGAGGCCGCGGGCCCGCACAGGGGCCACTTATAGACCATACTTACGATAATCGTGGCCTGCCCAACCTGCGGTTGGAACCTCCATTTTCCACCTCACGCAGAAGATCGTATAGTTCAACTAACCTCTTCGTCTACCCACGGTTCAAACCAACTACCCTGGGATAGGGATACCAACAGAAACACAAAAATGATGATTGAATACTTGGGCATCTACCAACCAAAGCCTACTGCCTAAAGTCTACCAGGACTTACTGACGGAAAGAAATCTACCTTAATCCATGGAAGCAACAATAAATGACAAGATCTCCCAGATGAAACTCTCTCTCAGTCCACCCACAAAGTCAATGAGAGATCAAACACCCTCCATCTCTCGGATAAACCTCCAATGTTCCCTGGCACTCGAGATCGCATCTAAATGAACTCTCCCTTTCACCGCGGCACCATCAAAGACATCCCGCGCAAACGCGGCCAAATCTTCACCCGACCAGAACATCGGCTGGCGACGACAGAGACCCCAGACACGCAGCATCTCCACGTGGAGAAGCCTCATCCCGCCAATCATCCACTCCGCCTCCTCGACCGTCATCCCGTTCACACTATAAGCACGGCTCGGCTTGATCCGGACGTAGGCGATGCGGGCGACGGGACTACAGACAATCTGGAACTGACTGACCCACGACCGCTCCAGACCTGGACCAGGATCGATGGGCGCCGGGAGAAAGTTGAGAAATTGGAAAGTTAGAAAGGGCACTGGGACGCCCCATGGTACCGTCCCGTGCTGCTCTTCAAATCGGCGTAGGGATGGGTTACTCGCCCACAGGCTGTTGGCTCGCGCAGCGACGACTTGTCTTGTGATGGGACCGATGCTGCGCAGGCGGCGGTAGCGGTACATCGTGAGTTGCTGATAGAGGTCCCGGTGGAACATACCTAGCTCATAGCGGATGTTGAAAGGTTTACCGGTAACTGCGCTCCCCTTGTCGAACTCGGCGCGTAGATAGGCGAGCATTGAATCATCTCGCGGAGAGGGAAGGGCGATGTCGTGAGGCGGCTGTGTGAGCCACTTACCTTGCTCGATGTGCTGATCGACGCCGGGAATAGGCGTTGAATTAATAGCGTGTACGGATTCAGAGTTCACGTTGATTAAAAACCCGTCCTCGCTTTGAATTTCTACACCGAGCGCGTGAGTACTGCCTGGTCTGAAGCTTAGAGATGCCCAATACATACCGGAACGCGGCCTGATGGCCTCCATAACCCGCCAGGGGAAGTATACCCAGTGAGAAGGATCAACATCTTGTTCCTCGTCTCCATTTCTGATTGACTGGTGCCTGATCATCACGCATGCGAGAAAGAGCTGAACCAAAGCCTCTTCATCAGAGAGAAGTGAGTAGTCGAAGATGAGGAAGGAAAACTCGTCGCCCCAGTTGAGTGAAGACTCGTGGTCGGACATGTTGGACTCTTCGTCGTCTGCGATACACGGTATGATTCTCCAGAGATTGTGCCAACTGCCAGTTATGAGCCATATGGCTATGATTTTCAACAACTGGTGAAGCGCGATGCAGAGAAAGACCACGTGGACTAGTGTCATCAATCCCATGGCAGTGATCTGAGTGGTATGTCGGTCGATGTCAGGAGTGAGTACCTTGGTTTTGATGCTTCTTGAGCAGGTGATATATATATACCAATACATTGCAACTGCTAATCTGCGGGAAACTTTTAGCTCGTCAAATTTTCCGTGAATCTCTATTCTCATGTCACGATGGGTTTGGTTTGGGTCGTCGAGTACGGCTTGGAGGCGGCCCTATCTTTTACACATGAAACCTCTTTCGCTTTGAAGAGAAAGAGAAGGGAATGACCTAGTTTTATACCGACGTGACGCATGTTACTTTAAAATAAGATGAGACACCATTGAGCTACTTTATTCACATTACGGTCTATGTTTGGAGCCCGAAACGGGCCTTCTCCTTTAAGGGCGAGTGCGAGGGGACTGGTATTAAGGCAAGCAGCAGTCGTCAGTGAAGCGCGGTAAGGTAGCTTAGGCCTCGATCATGTAAGCACATCTAAAGATCCAAAGCACCAAAAAGCAAAAGAGTTCACCCCCCCGGTGCTGGACTGGGGGCTACATCTCTTGGTGCTCATACTGGGACTCGAACTCGGGTACTCGCTAAGCCTGTCGTCGAGTAGGCTGGTTGGCGTATAATCGTTGGACCATTAACCTCTCCACCACCCAGCCAGTTTGACCTGACCCCCCGACCTAGGGGGGCGCCTGCTGGCTGGTGACAGGAATGGACTTGACGGAGTATATGAGGGCTTCTCGTGGCGTTTGCGGAAGGTGCGCCTCAGGCTTCCTGCCCTCCTGGTGACGGGAGGGAAGGAAGTGGAACCTCAACGTCTTGAGCATTGCCAGGGACGGGAGGTAGTGCGTCTCGCTCGTTTACCTTACCGAACCTGCCTTACCTAGTTAGCGATCACGATACGCACCCAATAACATGGGGGAGCCTTCCACTGGGTTGCTCATCATGTGGCAGGTTTGCCCTTGGAGTCGGACTAGGTACTATCGCTTAGCTTAAGATTTAAGTATGTCATGAAGAAAAAGCCAACACTCCCGGAACAACGTTCCATTCTAGAAAGAAATCAATTAAGCTCTACCTTATTTCCTCTCGAAAAAACTCTCCCATTCTGCTGCGTTGTAGTGCTCGTCAAAACCGAGCAGTATCCCCATCCTGAAACTACAGCGACCGTCTCGCTCAAGATTCACAAAGATCATATGTCTAATCGTCATCTCGGGTCTCATCTCATTCAATAACCTCTGCCTTCCTCTCTCCAAAACCAGTTCGCTAGGCTTTCGAAGCCCTTCACTAGCCTTATTGGCTTATCATCCTGATGCACTACCACAGCTCCTTCAAGGTGATCAATCTATCAACGGCGTTATTCGGTTTCGACCAGTGGCGATTTCCCGACCAGCTTTGGAAGAAGTCTTGAATGCTCGTAACGCCGCCTCTTGCCATCATTTGGTTAGCCCAGCGAAGCATAGTGGTGTAATGGAAGTATGCTAAGCTGAGTAAGTCTTCATCTCTCAGCCGGCATTTATTAGAATGAAGACGAATTACGTTCGAGCCAACCTCATGTTTGATGACAAATCCTTCCTCGAGATCGGGAATATGCGGCAAACCTAGTTCGCTTGATGAAGCCCCATTGACTGGAAGAGACACCGCCCAGTCAAGCCGATTACCCCGAAAGTTTTCGAATTCTAGGAGATAGGGGTTGCTGATCCACGCCTCAGTCATTGTCAGGTTCCAGGCGACATTTTGGAATGCGCGGTCTTCCAAATATTCCAGAACCCAGAATATCTGATTTAGGTCATTCTCGTAATCACTTCGTTCGTACTAGTCAACTTGTTCGCTGTAGATGTCAAAGAGTTCCATCCAGTTCACCCAAGGCTCCTTAGTCTCGGAGGGAGAACCGTGAAGCCAATCGTAATTGCTCTTGCTGCTATTTTCTCCAAGATCCAGGCCCAACTTTCAGGTTAGAAAATGAAACGCAGAGAACATCGTAGCCACTTGCCTGTCTGATACAGAGAGGATCGCATGAGGTGCCATAGCAGGTGATTCCACGACCGGGGACGAGACAAAGTGTTGAGAAGTAAGCGCTCTCCCTTCAATAACTCCACAATGAAGTTGTCGTATGTCACTTTGCCTGCAATAAGTGAATCGATATCTTCATCGTGCAATCCTCAGTAGAAGAACAAGAACGCATCCTTCCAATCGGTCTTGTTGGCGTCCGTGTTGGCGATTTGGTGTGCTGTGATGGAAGGAAGAAAAGTCTTCGCAGGGTGGGGGGGAATTAAATAGACTGAGCAAAGGTATCGCCTGCCTGTGAATTCTTTTTGACCTCGATTAAAGATGTGGCACTGTGTGTGTGTGACAAAGAGGAAAGAGCGGAGTGAAAGGGACAAACAAAAGTCAGTTGTGGAAGCGACCCTGCCTAAGGTACTGCCTAGTACCAGGTACCTTTAATGCTCGTCGAGAAAGATGTACGTGAGGTAGACACCCTGGGTGGATACCCAAGACAGTCAAATGTCATCTTTTCATTGCTCTTTCCTCCATTTGACGTCAACTTCCTCACTACCCATGGAACTAAATTGCCCTAACTAAGGTAGGTACGCTCCTGCGTTAGTGCTCGCTTGCTACTATATCTAACATGATGATTCCTTCAACAGTACCTAGTAATAGCTCAAGGCCACTTCTAGAAAGCCACACTATGAATGTGTGTATCCGTTTAACATGACAATCCCCTTGTCGACCACAACCAGCGAGATATTCGTTTGCAAAAGTAGGTAGGATGAGCCGCTGCATTGAGTTGAGGCTATGCTACCCTCCGCCAGAAGCAAGCTCAAGAAGATACTTGATGTTAGGAGTATCAAAGTTCATCAGGTTGTCGTCGATCTGTGATATTTGTTGTACATCAAGTCCCAAATCCAGCATCTGTTCACTTTCTAGTTCGAGGTGTGGAAAGCTCGGAGAATCCGAAGGCGCTGGTATTTTCGGACTTGGGATAGATAGATTTGATTCGCGGCACATCTCCCCGTAATCGACCATCGACCAGAGGGATCTTTCCCATCCTGGATCCATGACTGATTCCAGCTGCGAGTCAAGGAGTGAATCGAAAAGATAAGCGTTCGCATTGAAAGTCAGCAGCCGATGGTGCTATACTAATGTTAGCCCATATATGGCTGAAATACACCAACTCATCGAGCAATTGAAAACTTACAATCTTGGACGCATGATCCCAAAACTTTGCCATTCCTTCAAGTATTGATATGCTGTCTTGGGTTGCACTCAGTAGTTCCAAGTAACGCTGGCTCTCGGTATCCTTCTCGGTGTGCATGTGAAGCGAGAGAATGCTGCCAGCTAGGCACGCTGAATATGCGTAGAATGAAGCACCTAGATGGCACCCTACTGCTTCTGCATCGTGCAACAAATTGACCAGATCCCGAGCATGTTCATAGCTCTTCTGTGAGGCGAGGCGCATGAAACTTGATGGAACTTGACACTTGACCCTCCGAACTTGCTCTCGCACAAGGAAAGGATGGTAGAGAAGGCAGTAGCAGACATGGAATACTGTACGTGCAAAGATGACATGGCCCATTGCGGGGTGATCTATGACACCATCATCAAGCCTGTAAGTATCGACAACATTCCTAATGGGATGTTGATCGACGTGGAGGCGGGACTCGACGAGGAGAAGGAGCGATGTGATTGATGCAAACTCCGATTTCGAGTCCCAAGGGGGAGTCTCATCGGTATTGCGGTCGTGAAGAAGCCTTCGTGTGCAGCGAGCGAGTACGGATGATGCCAAGATGGCAACTGGGAATCCACTCTCAACGCCAACATCGGTGCTCCAATCGAGAAGCTGACGGAGCGTCACATTCTGGCCCCATCCGCCAGAACGAAATGTCAGCTCGTCGCAAGGTAGTCGCACATGGCAGTCCTCGTCCAAGATGGCGAAATGTCTGTGTTTGCCGAGGGAGACCAGTTTGTCGAGAAGGTAGATTGACCAGAAGGATCTCCGCCTTTCTTCCTGCTCCACCAGAGGAAGAGTTTCACTGGGCTCCTTCATCAGTTGGAGATCCTGAGCTATCCGAATCGCCATCCCAATCTTGAGCCACGCGGAGCTGGTTCGGCCGGCTGACAAAGGCGTTAGTACCAAGGAAGCCCCGGTTGTCGAAATACTCACCGGTAAAGTCAATGATGGCCAGGATATTGGTGGCTTGGGCGACCTCAAGGTTGCAAGAATCTTCCACCGTCATATGATCGCCCAGAACGGATAACCATGCTTCTCTTGCATATGCTTCAATGGCATGGGATCTGTTGTCTCGATAGTATTCGTGTTCTGAGAACCTCAAGGAAGATGCTAAAACAGCCAGAAGCACGCATTTCGAAAGCTGGCCATCCGCTAGTTTCTGCCGGAAGCTTCCCTCGTGAAAATAAGAGTATGGCTGGTTGTGACACCATTGAAAGAAAGTGTCGACCAGCGACTGCGTTACCGAATCAGGCGGGAATGTACTGAATGTTCTGAAGCGTCATTTTAGCCTTTTTTTTTCTTTTTCTCTTTTGTCCTTCGTGCTTGAGCTACCAAAGGCGCCGAAGAAGACTTACTGGGACTGTGAGCTCCCTGAACGCCAGGTAGTTGACATGTTGGGTGATGATTGGTTGACCAAATCAGGAACGCCTAAAACATCTTCGTGTTCATTTGATTGGAATTGAGGCTGCTCTTCCACAGTATTGTGGTCTTCCATAGGCATATTGGCCTCGTTGAAAGCGGCGGAACTGAGCTGTATTAGCACGACAATCCTGGGTTATAAAATCTGATGATGGACACATACCTGAATTCTTGAGATTCGCGGTCGCTCAACTGAGCTAATTTGCTTTCAATCATAGAAATTCTCTGTAGAAGGTCCGTCTAGACAGGGTCACGTCGTCAGTCTGCTGATCTTCTAGGGCCAAACACTTATAACAGTGATTACATCTTTAGTCAAGCCAAGAAGCAATGCAGTCGAGTTCCCAGAAAGGGAGGCCGAGACTGCCGAGTAGGGTTCGTATTGGCAACGCTGCATCACCCGTCGACAATTGATACATCTTGGTCGATCCCCGGAACATTTGATCTTCTTCTGCCTAAGACAGATGCCGCCATATCAGCTTCTCTGCGACTTCCACGCGACTTGGCCTTTGACAGGGCCTCCGCCAAAGAAGGGATGAAGGGCTTGGAACTCTACCGGCAACTGGTACAGGCCTGGCGGATGCGTTTGATGCCTGCGGTGGCTGGTGGTGACCTCGACTCCGGACTTCTCTCTGGCCTCGTTATGGATGATTCCGCGGGCTCCGCCATGTTGATGTTGTCTACAGTTTTCGGGCAGGGCGAAATGATGTAATGAATATAATTGCTGAAGTCCCAGACGCGCTCGTCCGCCCCAAAGTGAAATGACCGATGAGCATTGATACGGGGTAATGCTGAGCCGTAATGCGGGGTAACCGGGGTTTATGTATGTCTGCGTGGGGGCATTAACGGCCCGCAGCAGCGCAGTGGGTTCACTTCCATCGCTTTCCCCATTCTTTTCACCCGGATGAGCCAACCTGGTTGTGGGTATTACAGCTGGTTTTAAGTTGCAGCTTGTCGTTGCGGTCGACATGTCACTGTCATTGTGTCTACTCAAAGCAATTGAACTAAGCATCTAAGTACTGTACTGGATATTTCATGCTAGATCTTTGCCCGCGGAACCTGATTTAGGGAATCCCAGTCGACCTTACGCTTCTGCTGGAATTCTGCTATCCCATGGACGGCATCAGAGTCAGGCTCCATCATGGTCTTGAAAAGCCTGGAAATCCCGTCCCGCTGCTCTGGCATTCCCGCGTGCCTCCAACTTAACTTGACTAATTCTTTCGACATGCTTGAACCCCCGGGCGACGAGTGTCGAAGTTGCGTGAGGAGGGTTTTCGTTATGATGTCCAGTTCCGAAGGCGTCTCAGCAACCATCGAGATGGCGCCAGCAGACTTCAACTCGGAAGCTGTCAGAGACCGTGCTGTGAGCATGGCTTCCCTCGAGAGTCCAAATCCCCATTCCCTGATGACGTATCTCGAAATTACGGCAGGACACATGCCAAGTTTGGCCTCAGACAATGTGAAGCTTGCCGAGCTGATGGAAATCCTGATGTCGCAAGAAAATGCTAATCCAATGCCACCGCCGAAAGCCGGCCCTTGTATGCAGGCGACCGTGACCTTTGGAGAGTTGTCGATGAGCTCGAATAAGTCTGTCAATGCCTGGAACAGCTTCGAACTTGCGTCACCGCCCCGGCCGACTGCCTGTGCGGCCTGGCTCAGGTCCATCCCAGTGCAGAAGAATTTGCCATTTGCGCTAATAAGAACACGAGATATTGAGGCGTCGCTCTCAAATGACTTGAATGCCTGGATGATCTCGGATATCATCGGAAAAGTGAGGGTATTTCCGTTTCGAGGCTTGTTGAGAACGATATTACCGTTCGCTCCAGCCCGCCGAACGACAACGTTGTCAGACTGTTCCAAGATTGACCACTCCAACGCCTCCTTTGGCCGATCGGTGATCTTCGATGATTTTGTTGATGAGATCTTCGATTTGCTGGCGAGAGCCGCTCCAGCCCGGCTGTCGTTGGGTTTCGCTAGGGCCTGGGAGATCCAAACCCCGATGTCAACTACTTGCTGGAGGTCTACACCGGTATCAACCCCAGCTTGCTGAAACAAATATACAACATCTTCCGTAGCCACATTACCCTTAGCACCTGGTGCAAAAGGGCAACCGCCTAGGCCGCCAACGCTGCTATCAAAGGTTCGTAGACCGCATTCGTACGCCGTCCACACATTGGCTAGAGCTTGCCCGTAGGTATCGTGGAAGTGGCCAGCTAATCTCTCGGTATGGATGTTCTGAGCCTTGAGATATTCAAGTAGCCGTCGAACGTCTGGTGGTGTTCCGACACCCAAAGTATCTCCAAGGCTGACTTCGTAGCAGCCCATATCGAGTAAGCTTCGCACAGCGCGGGAGACTGCAGGTAAAGGAGTAGGACCGTCGAAAGGGTCGGCAAAGATGCAAGAGACGTATCTGCCATAAGAGAAACGAAGTTAGATGACTGTATATAGAGGCTGAAACACCAACAAACATTCCAGGAAAGAAAAACGAACTCACCCCCTCACAAGCACCCCGGCTGCACTGGCCACCGAGGCCACCTGCTTGGCACGCTCCAAGCTCTCATCGACAGTGCAGTTGATGTTTGCTCGACTGAAGCCTTCTGTCGCACTGACGAAGACAGCCACTTCCCTAACACCATGTTCGAGGGCGATGCGTAAGCCTTTGGTGTTCGGAACCAAAACTGGCATACGCAGTGTACCATTGGTTTGTTGCCACCTCTTCACAACAGGGGCGGAAAGTATTTTGCGGCAATCTGCAAGTTGCGGTATGGCCTTTGGTGAAACGACAGACGTGATTTCGACATTCTGGAGTCCTGCATCCTGTAATCTTTGGATGAGTTCCAGCTTCGTCGACGTATCCACCACCGTCTTGATATTTTGAAGGCCGTCACGAGGCCCAACCTCGACGATTCTCACAGTCTTGGAGCCCGCCATATTGGATCGAGGTTTAGCAGTAGAAGAGAATGCCAAAGATCGCTGTAAGTGGCCTGCAGGAGCCCTTGTGTGCATCCTTCCCATCCAAGAATGCTCCCGTCGGCTTTGCTCTCCAGGTCGGTCCCGGACCGGGTGGGCCCTGGTACGTACCTAACAGCCACCTCGGCTGGAAATCTGGGGTACGCCGGGATTCCGGACCGCCCGGCTAAGGTTGGATAGGTACCTGACTTCCACCCCAAGTACCCAATTGAATGACTCAAGACTGTCATCTTCCAATTGTTCTAATCCCCTCTCCTTAGGATCCACACCCTCGTGGTTAAGGTTCATGACCCCGAGCTTACACCTCATACCGTACCACGTGCATGGTCGCATTTGAACGGGCTTAGAACACGAGGATCGCAGTCCATTATATTTGAGCATGAGGGTGAAGGTCTAATCTGGTCAAAGTGATGCTGCTACCCTTAATGCTGGAGTAAGGGAGACTTTACCAAATTAAATGCGCAGATTGAGAGGACTCGGAAAATGGTTCATATAATTATACAGAGCATAACCTAAATACGATCAAATTCTTGCTAGGAAACGATGTGATTCAGCACTCTTTTGGCCAGACAACCCCACAATCTCCAAGCACATTCCAAGAACATCACGAGTGTCCCTCGGGTCAATGATACCATCATCGATAAGCATCGAGCTGGTTGCATAGCTCGTCGAATCTCTGTACGCATCCTCCCGTAACTGCGCTGCCTGGGCTTTGATCTGCTCTGGGGAGAGCTTGCTACCGCCATTTGACTTGGTTCTGATGGTTTCTACAACACCTGCAAGCTGATCTGGGCCCATGACACTGCATCGCCCCGTCGGCCACGTGAAGAGGAATCTTGGGCAGTATGATCGGCCGCACATGGCGTAGTTGCCGGCTCCGTAAGATGCTCCAAGGATGATGCTAATATGAGGGACCGTTGAGCAGCTTACCGCGGACACAAGTTGTGCGCCTGCTTTGATGATTCCAGAATGCTCTGCTTTAGTACCTACCATGAAGCCAGTGACATTGTGGAGGAAAATGATTGGCGTATTTCTAAAGCTGGGTCAGCTAGAACGAGGAAAAGCTCTGAGCTTAAGAGACTTACTCCTGGTTGCAAAGCCGAATAAACTGCGCGGCTTTGAGGGCCTCGTGTGGATGGATCACAGGAGTCTGGTTCGCCACAATGCCAGCACGAAACCCTTCATTGTATATGTATCAGTGAACCTTGTTTGTGAAAGGTGATTGGGTGATGAACAGCTCCTTACCGAGGATGTCCGCCCAAGCCGTCAGCATATTCGTTCCGTAGCTCGGCTTGAAGATAGCCATTCTGGAGTCATCAACAAGTCGGAGCAACACCTCGCGCATGTCGAATGGTTTACGAATGTCGGTGTTCAACAGATAGAGGAGATCATCGATAGAATACCGAGGAGGTACAGGGTCTGACGTATTGGGGAGTAGGCGACTGGGCTCCGGGGTGCGAAGTGTTGCAACCCATTCGCGAGCTTTCTGAATAGCATCAAACCTGTCATAATGGTGTCAGTTAGATGAAGACCTAAGCAAGATCGAGAGTTCCATACTCGTCCATCGCGATCTGATCAGCCAGTCCGGTTGTTGATGCATGAATCTTGGCCCCGCCCAGCTCTTCGGCAGTGACCACCTCGGAAGTGGCCATCTTCACTAGTGGAGGTCCTCCCAGAAACACTTGAGCCTGATTCTCCACGAAAATGGTGTAATCAGAAAGCGCAGGATGATAGGCGCCTCCAGCAGTTGAGGAGCCAAAGACAATGGCACACGAAGGTTTGCCTTGCTGAGATCGTATCGCTAGATCACGAAAGAGTTGGCCACCTTTATGGAAGACTCGAAACTGTTGAGGTAAGAAAACACCGGCCTTTGATAGTCAGAATATTTTCATTCCGCTTGGTGATGGTAATCCTACCGACTGAACCAGTGAGATTAGAGGCAGATCGTTCTCGAATCCTATTTCAAGTATACGGTTGACCTTGAGGACTGCCCTTATGTTAGGAGTCTGGCCTCGAGAGAAATGGAGAATAAGCCCTCACCTGTCATCTCGTTCCAAGCTCCTCCACTCTGCGTTGGGATATGCGACATAAGAAGGCATGGCCGTTGACTCGTTCTCTGTTAGAAATGGATCGATAACCAGTGCTCCCAAGTGAACTCACCTAACAAGGCCGATACCTGCAATGATATTTGCGCAGGAGTTAGACCCGGAGATCCTGAACCCCGCGAAGCATCCTAACTCAAGAAACGGCGAGTCTGCATCGAGCAGTAACGCAATCCTGTCTCGTGCTTCATTGGACCGTGCTAGTCAGCTCAATTGTCTCAATATGTTAATTACCAAAAAGCGACTTACGCAGCAGTTGGTGTCTCGTTTGGTGTCTCAATGTGGAAGCCTCATCCCCTTCCGAGGACACATCTTTCAGATAACTGTCAAATTCTTGCAAAACCGGCTCCCATGCTTGACGATTCGCTTGGAAGTTGGATGCAGTGAGGTCAACGGTTGACTTCTCGACGGGAAAAAGCTGCTCAATCATGTTGATCAAATTGAGGGAAGAGGTAAAGCTGTGGGTATCGAGCAGAGTCAGTTGCGTCTTGGTCGCGTGTGACTCGGTAGAAGTACTGGGTTTCTGAGTATGGGTCGGGGCATTGGCGCTCTGCCGGACCGATCCCCGCGTGCCCCTCGGGCCCCGGTTGGCCCACCTCGATGTCGGCTATCAGACATCCGGGGAACAGTATTTATGACTTATGGTATGTAGATTAGTTTTCATAGACGAAATCTCGCATCTGGCTCATATTATTGATTGTCTTTTCTACCCATCGTTCTCATCGTCAAGTACCTTACCTCACCTTCCGCAATCATGACGCCTTCGGTGGATGCATCGCTCTCTCTGGTTCAGGGGCCTGCCTCGCCGCCTCTTATCCTTAAGCCGCTTGGTTCAATCATTGAAGAACAGTCGAAAAAGTATGGGGACCGCCCTGCCGTCATTGTCCCGTGGCAGTCTACACGGCTCACTTATCGGGAGCTCGCAGACCGCAGCAAAGTTATAGCCAAAGCAATCCTTGAGGTTGGACTCCATCACGGAGACCGTGTGGGAATCATTGCGGGGAATTGCTATCAGTACATTGAGCTTTTTCTTGGGGCTGCTCGCATTGGATGCCCCTACGTAGTTTTCAACAATACGTACTCGCCCGACGAGTTGAAAAATGCCGTGTTAGCCAGTGGTAAGCAAACCATGGTGATTATCTCAAAACTGGTCCTCTACTAATTCTTCACAATGCCAAAGGCTGCAAACTCCTTTTGATGTCGCCTAAAATAGGGACAAAGTCGCTGTCGCCGCACCTAGAAAGTCTCTTGAGTCTTGACAAAGGACAGTCTCCGCTCAAACAAATTGTCTACCTGCAAAAGTTCGAACAAGCTCCTCAGGGTAGCATGCTTGAATCTTACAGTTTCTTCTTCAACCGCGGACAGTCAATTTTCATGAACGACTCCGTCTTGAGACGAGCAGCACGCAAGGTTCGCCCTTCGGATGTACTGAACCTCCAGTTTACTTCCGGTGAGTTTAGCTACCATCTAGATTCCATCCCGTGCTCAACATCCTCTAGGAACCACGGGTCGCCCGAAGGCCGCTACTCTAACTCATATGTAAGATACCGCGCCAAGCCCTGAGTGAGAAATACCAAGCTGATGAACTGTCTAGCAACTTGGTGAATGATGCTCAATTTGTGGGGGACGCCATGCGACTGACCGAGGCAGACGTTGTGTGCTGCCCCCCACCTCTGTTCCACTGCTTCGGGCTCATCATGGGGTTCCTTGCTTCATTCTGCCACGGCAGTTCCATCGTGTTTCCCTCTGATAATTTCAATGCAGAGGCAACACTATCCGCTGTGTTGAACGAGAAGGCGACGGCCCTTCTTGGAGTTCCAAGCATGTTTCTTGCCGAGTTGGAGGCGCTTCAGCAGTCAGGCTCTCCAATCAGCACCCTGCGGACAGGTCTCATCGCAGGCTCTCCTGTGCCAGCCGCTTTGATGACCGATATTCGCGAGAGGATGCACGTTGAGGGCATTCTGATCGCTTATGGGATGACAGAGACCAGCCCAGTTACATTTATCACGTCCCTTGAGGATGCTCATGAGAAGAGAAATGCGTCCGTGGGCAAGGCCCTTCCACATACTGCGGCCAAAGTGGTAGATGCTCAAGGAGCCATTGTGCCACATGGAACTCGAGGAGAACTATGCACCAGTGGTTTCGCATTGCAGAAGGGTTACTGGAAAGAACAAGAAAAGACGAAAGAAGTGATGAAGGTCGACGACAATGGAGTGGTTTGGATGCACACAGGCGACGAGGGCTTGATCGACGCTGATGGCTATGCTCACATCACAGGACGCATCAAGGACTTGATTATTCGTGGTAAGTTTCAAATTTGAGTTCCGAAGACTTCAACTAAATATCTGGCAGGTGGCGAGAACATCTCTCCGACTGAGATCGAGGATCGATTGCTCAGCCACCCCGCTATTTCAGAGGCTTGTGTCGTTGGCCTCCAGGACAAAAGATATGGCGAGGTGGTCGCGAGCTTTCTGCAGACAGCGAACGGCACTGTGAAGCTGACTGATTCGGAAGTCAAGGCTTGGGTTACGGAGAAGTTGGGACGGCACAAGGCCCCTGAGCATGTGTTTTGGATTGGTCACCCTGATGTTGGAACCGGTCTGCCTAAGACTGGGAGTGGAAAGTATCAGAAGCATCTCATACGCGATTTGGGAGACGCGCTGCTCAACAAGTCAGCAAGGAAGGCAAAGTTGTAGGATTAGCTTCTTTTACCGTTGTTTCATTTCGCTTCAGACTTGCAAAACACTGCACACTACTTGCTGCATTTTGGGTGTCCACAAACGAGCGAACCTGGTGTGTATGTTTGATTTAATCTCAATGAATGCAATCACGCCCCTCGCAGTTTCAGTAAAGAAACATCGTTTAATTGACCAAGTTGTCATTGCATCATCAATGTAGAATCAAGCATGGCGCTCACTGTTCCATTCACAGTATCATTCTAAGTCGGCGATTGCACACGCTAGAGCAATGCAACACAGTGAGACATAAACTGCCTGCTCATGTTTCTATTGACTGGAACACTTCGTCTGCCAGAGTTACAGTATCACATCGTCTTGAAAACCCAGAGAACTTTGCTGTGGTAAGTTCTGCCGCTTTGCCACCTTCAACAGGTTGAAGTTCCGAGGAGCCGGGTGCCAGGGCCCACACAGTGTACTGTTGTCCGGACCGCTTCCCGGCGCTAATATTGCAGCTTTCCCGAGCATACCCGCCGGCAAGGGCATCTATGCCGTGTCACAGACACTATCCGGAGCGCGGTTCACTGTTCCCGAGATCCGAAAGCTCTATGATGTTGGCCAATCCCATTATCAAAAATGGACTTTGAAGCTCCTAGAATAGCTTAATCAACCAAAGTCACTGTTACATGTATTAAGTCTCGAGAAACGGGCTTGAGCGAGTCTTCCTATCTCCAAAATCCTACATCATCCCCGTCACAATGGTAGCTATCCAGCAAACTGATGGTATAACGGGAGCACGATCTTCCAGCAAAGAGCTTTTTGTGGCCGATGTTCCGCTCGGCGAAGACGGACACCCTCGAATTCGAAAACTGTTGATCGCGAACAGGGGCGAGATTGCCTGTCGAATAATTGCTACTTGCAAGAAAGTCAATGTAGCATCAGTAGCGGTTTATACTCAAGAGTAAGTTCCAAACAAATTACAACACGAGAACATTACATTTATCTTGATGCACGGTTTGTTGACTTTCCTTGCAGAGATGCTGTTTCACGACATGTTCAGGATGCGGACGAGTCGATCTGCATTGGTTCTATGGAGAAGAACGAGAGAAATCCGTTTCTCGACATTGATCTCCTGGTAAACACTGCAAAAAATATACACGCCGACGCAATTCATCCAGGATATGGCTACTTGAGCGAGAACGCAAACTTTGCTGACAGTGTACGCCACGCTGGACTCATTTTCGTCGGCCCTCCAGCCAAAGCCATGTCCACACTAGGCGACAAGCGCTCTTCCAAAGACTATCTCCGGCAGAATGCTCCCGATGTTCCATTGATCCCAGGATTTACTGGCACCAGTCTTGAAGCTGAAGACCTGCAAAGAGCAGCTGTCGACATCGGTTTTCCCGTGATGCTGAAAGCTTCCGCAGGCGGCGGAGGCAAGGGTATGAGAGTTGTGCACGAACCATCGCAGCTGATGACGGAACTGAGTAGAGCGCAGTCAGAAGCTCAACGCTCATTTGGTTCAGGAGACTGCATTCTGGAAAAGTTCATTGAGAACAGTAAGCACATTGAGATCCAAGTGGTTGGTGACCAGTATGGTCAAGTAGTGTCGTTCTTTGAGCGAGATTGCTCGATCCAGCGTCGCAACCAGAAGGTGATCGAAGAAACACCGTGCCCTTTTCTCGATGACGACACCAGGCAGAAAATGAGCGAGACAGCCGTCCGAATCGTCAAGTTGATAGGCTACGAAGGAGCCGGGACCGTGGAGTTCGTCTTCGACACATCGACGAGAAAGTTCTATTTCCTTGAGGTTAACACGCGACTGCAAGTCGAACATCCGATTACGGAGGAAGTCGTCGGAGTTGATCTTGTCGCTTTGCAACTGTTTGTTGCGGCCAAAGGTCGTCTCTCAGAGCTCCCTCAGCTGTCAAATCTTACACAGACTGGGCATGCAATTGAGTGTCGGCTTTGTGCGGAGGACCCCCAGCGAGACTTCCTTCCCAGCCATGACAAGATCTTGTTATGGAAGCCTGCATCTCCAGGAAGAAGCCCGGGCTCGGTTATTCGTTATGAGACAGCGATTCAAAGTGGAACATCAGTTTCGATCTACTTTGACTCGATGATCTGCAAGATTGTTGTCTGGGCACCGACAAGATCTGCGGCAATCAACATACTTGCCAGAGAGCTGGCAAACACTCCGTGCATTGGAATTAGGACAAACCAGTTATTCCTTCAAAGCTGTTTGTTGCACCCAGCCTTCCAGGACTTTGGCTACAAGACATCATTCATTCCAAACAATATCGACGACTTGCTTCGAAGTCCATACACGCCGGCCTTGCCAGCCCATATTTCACTTATTCCTAGTATCTTTCTGCAACATTTGCAGAAGGACGAACCCCGGGAAGTTGGTGGTCGTCGTCACTTCCGGACAGTCCGCCGTCAGTTCCACAACCAAAAGTTTGACCCGTTCCACCAAAGCTGCGAGATCATCTCCCTTAGAGACTCAAAATCCGCCTCTGGAGGTATTACTAGGTGCGAGGCCTGTCTTCCCAAACCTAGCTCCAGCAACGCCGACAACGAGTGGGATGTCTGTCTCTACCCTGTGACACACCACAGCCTGGATGAGAAGGATTCTTCATCCAAAGAGGGGGTAGAACTACCACCGGCATCGAATTTGACTGCCACTTACACTGCCACAAGTCGAGCCATTCGGACAGGAGAGGCATGGTCGGGGCCTGTTTTCAACATCAGAAAC